AGCCTCTGCCACAGCCTGCCTCCACTTCATTTTCAGCCTTCGAGGACGCTGGCTGGGCTGGATCAGAGGGCCCTCTCGCTCTGGCTTGGTCTCCTGTCTGAGGGCCCAGACAGCATCTGCATGCTCTTCCTGTTGAATCACCAGCACCACCAGCCCAAGGTTGGGGCCAGCGCTGGGCTGGCGGAGGGACTCCCGCACCACGTCCCACATCTCCTTCTGCAGGGCCTCATACAGAAGCTCCACGTCCTTGGCCTTCCTCCGGCTCGAGTCCAGTGTTGCGTTGGAACTAAGGGAGTCATCCGTGGATGGTGGTGTTAAGGGGATCATGCTGGGTGGAGTGCTTGGACACAGGGTCGGAGCAAGGGTGGGAGTAGTTGGGGTTGGCAGGAGAGACAACAGCTCACACTCTCGCTCCAACTCCTGAATTTGTGTGTCAGCCAGGAGAAGGTCCCTGTGGTTGACCAGCTGCAGGATCTCAAGAACTAAGCAAGACACAAAACAGAAAGATATGTTTATTTGCAACATTCACAAACTGGAGAGTTGCCCAAATAAAGAGGCAAAGTGTGTATCTGTTGGTTCTTGAGTAGCTGTGCATGTGAATGACTGACAAATTGGGTTATTTGTTGCTCATTGTGCACACTCTTCCATCCTTAGTGAGGCTCCCTGTGAAGTATATGAACAGTAGCTTGGTTGAACGTCTATCTAGAGGAACCTGGGAGGAGGAAGTGCAATCATTTCCTGACCGAATAGTCTGTTGGTGACTGAACCCAGTGACTCTGGGATCTGGAGACGCTCTCAGCCTCATCAGAGAGTTGTCCAGGGCAGAGAGGAAGTTCTCTAACATAAAGGAAACTCCTCAGATTCTTCTGTGGCACTTGATATGCATGCATAAGCTTGAGATCGGGAGCTAGATGTTTTTACACCTGATAATTCCTAGATTATTACCTGAGAGGGGCTCTCTGGTTTTGACCACAGGCTCCTCCTCCACCGTCTCCTCGTCAGTCCCTTGGGAGGCCTTGTCTGACATGGATTCTCTCTTCACTTTGCCCAGGCTGACCATTTTCAGGAAGGACTGTCGCCTGGAAGCCTCAGCCTCACTGGCTGCAACCAGGTCCCCACAGGGCAGGCTTTCTCTGCGCTCCTCCTTACGTCGACCTGTAAAGCTGCACGACACCAACAGCAGGAACAAAGAATGTGAATGACTGCTGCTGTAAGGAGCCTGAAATCTTTCAGACCTGCATCATATGCACATACAGAAAGAGGAATGACACTTAGAGGTCTTGAGATTTGTGTTATACCACCCACTAGCAGCTATAGTTGGAATGCCAAATAATCACTCATCTGCTAAACTGTGCTGCTACTCAGTATGAAAGCCTCGGCTGAAAACTGTTCGATTCAGTGAGATTAGCAAATACACAACATGTCACTGAAAACAAAAGAGGCTCCACAGGCCAGCAGGTTGCTATAGCATATTACATAACTCCTCATTAGTGAAGAGCAAAGGTAACAGAGGTTTTTTATTTTTCACCGTCTCTTCAGAGACTAGACTCCTCTGTTCAGATGGGTATAACAGTTTTCTGTGAAAGTTACACTGCCCTTGTTATATTAATGTCATGGGGTGTTACTTGCAGTTTATTTTTTAGTTTCTTGCCTCCTTTGGGGTTTTTATAGGTTTATGTAGTATCGACTGTATCGGAATCAGCCTTTTAAAAATGGTCTGCACTCCACAAGTATTTCAACAAAACTTATTTGTATGCCAGAAATCTAAGTTGTTAACAGTTCAGTGACACACAGCTAAAATTTGATGTTAATCTGACCCTCCTTCCTCCCCACCCCTTCTCACCGGAGCAGGGTCATGATTCCCTCTGAGCTTCTGCGTAGTCCTTTCCTTTTCTCCATCTCTGGTGGAAGTGTATTTGACTCTCCAGGGCTGTAGTGGGGAGAGTTGTTCCCCCATACGTTGCGCCCTGATATGCGGAGACCCTTTCCCAGTTTTCCAAGAGTTTTGAATGGTGTCACTCCACAGATCCGCTCCAGGGTCCCTCTGAGGGGTTTTCCTTTCGGGTTCCCTGCCCCATGCCTCTCTGCATTCACTTCATTTTCCTCCTCTTCTCCATCACAGGAGGACCTGAGTTGGAGGTTTCCTCTGACCTCCCCCATGATGAGGCCCATGTCACCTCCATTCCTCTCATCCTCATCCAGATCCACATCCTCAAAGGGGTTTAGGTTCTTGTTCAGATCCTTCAGGTCATTCAGCTCTTTTAGCTCATTGAGATCATTCAAGTCCCTGAGGTCCAAGTCCAGTCGAGGCAGGATCAGTTCACCATTCACTCTGGGGATCTCATGGCAGCTCTTGGACCTTCCGGGGAGCTTCTTCAGAATGGGCATGGTTGCAAGTGAGATTTTAAAAACTAAAACAAAGACACTGTGTAAGATTTAGTCAAAATGTTCAAGGAAACAACAGCTATATCATCTGAATATCAACTCAGCTTGATAATGAATTACTTGTATGATATTTATTCAGACACTATCTTGCACTTAATTTCAACTGGGGTAAACCACAACCAATAGCAGTCTGGTACAGCAATACTGATAACAGAAAGGCAGTATCCAGGATAGCTAGTTATATATCTGTTAAAGTCAAATACAAAAACATGGTTACTTCCTCTTTGCTTAGTGAAGTGTACTACATAAGGAAATAAGTATTGATAATACTGCTGCATTTACACGGGCTACACATCTACCTTATATGATGCTACCCAGAAACAAATAATGATGTCAACTGGGGCAAGAAAGGATCACTTGCAGCTTGTTGAGAGTAACCCAGATTCATGTTTTCTGATTCCATCATTTATCTCAGGGAATTACATCATCACCTGGGCATATACTGTACCTGTAACATGTTCATTTGAGGACTTTGTTGAATATTTAAAAATAAATCTAATAATTTCTTTTAAGATTTGAGATTTTTATTTGCCATTTATGCATAAACAGACAGTACTAAGTCCATCTTTAAATGTGGTTTTGTTGAAATTCTAACTTCTAACATTAAAGAATCACTTACATATAAAACGTAGGGTTTATTCTTTTGCCCTTTGAGATATAATGGCAGAGAACTGGTGATTTATACAGAGAGACTTTCTGCTTAAATAAAGGTCAAAGAATATGAAAAGGTTGACTGAACAAATCCTTTGTAATTACTAAACTATATACATATTACTCTGTTGAATGTTATTTCTGCATTTCAATAGAACCTTTTTTATCGCCTTGTTGTTTTCAAAGTAATGTAATCACTGACTTCCATTAAAATAATATTATATGTTAACAGCTCTGACTTAGTTACTGGCCTGCAACATGGGCTTTCACTGTCTTATGGGCTACAGTACAAGGAAGGTGTTGATTAATATTTTCCTGATAGGTTCACATGTCCGTATGTTCCCTGACATGGTTTCTGGATGCTTTAACAGTTGCAAAAAGAACAACTGATTTCAGCATAGGGGATGGGGGTTTGGTTCTGGGTAGAAAATGCATTCCAATGTTCAGACAAAACTAACATAAACCTTCAGCAGAGTTAGACAAATGGTTATTTTCTAATGTGATTCCTAATGTGAAATTCTCTTAAGTTAAAACATAAACACGTGCGTATTATTTTAAGAAACTGCTGCTGGACATTTGAGGTCATAGTCATCACCAGAAGCAGAAACATTTTGAAAGAAAAACAAAGACACAGTAAAACCCCTATGTCAGTATATTATTCAATTATGTTTTTCACACAGAGAATATCCATAAACTATAGCTCGAAATGTACATATTTTTATTTAAATAACTTGAATGCTTTACCTGGGGACATCTTGAAAAATGAAACATTTTCATTCCCCTCCTTCCTGATCTTAAATTTAAGCCTTTTTTGCACAATCCACTATTAGGTTATCTGACGAGTTTTAGGGAATTCAAACCTCCATTCAAGACCGTCTTTAAGTCATTTAGACACCAAATGGAAAAGTCCATGACAAACAGATGAGACAAAGATGAGGCTAGACTAACAAACTGGAAATGGTGATTACTACACACAGTTACACAGCATCACAAAAGCTCCTTTTGTCTTTTTTAACATTGTTGTGAAGTATATCTCTAATACTCAAGTTTAAACGTGGCAGTTAGAAGAGCAGACTTTCCATAATTGAAGCATCTATGAAATGTAAACTGAGGTCTCCTACATTATACAGTGCTGTGTGTGGATAAAGAAAGCAGTTCACTCAGTTTACATACTCGCATTTTGTCAGCTTTTATAGTTTACTTTGGTATGCATTTGTAATTTAAATTTGTTCTGAGTGAAAATGGTCTTCAAGCATTGTCTGTGCTGCTGAAGCTGTTCTGATAACCTAACCCTTTTACTGTTTATCAGCCTCTCACAGCCACGGCTTCTCATCAAGGTCAGGTATAATCTTGTGATGACAATCCACCTCAAATGTTTGCTCGCTATAACATGACAAAAGTATTAATGATTTCTTCAATCACATTTTTGATCAACACACAAATGTTTTAAACCAGCTTCAACTACTGGATGGGTACCCACTGCTGTATGGGTAAAAAAGACAACTAGAAATATGTTCAAATTCAATAACTTCTGCAGAAAAACATGTAATATGAAGAGTGGCACCAGGCAGGCTGACCACAGTAAGTGTGAAAGAATAGAAACCCTGTGCAAATGAAAATTAATGCATCAAAATCCAAAGTCAAACACAGCCACTGAGTGCAGAGAATGAGGCTTACCTGATGAGATTACCTTGCGGTGTTTTAGTATAATGTCATCCTGGAGTGTGCAGTGTGTGTGTGTGTGTGTGTGTGTGACTGATGAATGTGAGAGTGTGTCCAAAAGTACTCTGTGACTCAAGAGAACGATGTGGCTGGTTTCCTGACAGGCTCTATTGTGGTAGAAGGTGATATGTTTTCCTGAGGAAAGGCCTGTCCCGTCCTTTCTCCCCCTCCTACGCCTCCATCCCCCCACTATCCCTCCGCTCCTCCTTCCCTCACACCCACACTCCAGGGACTCTCCTAATTACACTAATTGCATTACCTGTACAGTGAAGGAAGATGGAGTTGAACACAGCATTCCTCTGCAGCATTCCATTTTTTTGTTTGTTTATTTATCAGTGTGCATGTGTGTTTGTGTGTGCGTGTGTGCCTTGACTGATTTCTGTTAGAGGCAAATAATGAACTATAAGCATGTTTCAGTGTCAGTGGCCTTGAGTACACCTTCCTTTCATACACCATCAGCGGTGCATTTTTCCCAAGCGGAAGCCTTTAAGTGGGCAAAGCTAAAGTAAAATGACAGTCAACACTGTGGCACGACAAGATTATCTTTGCTTAAACACAGTTTAAGGTCACTCTAGCCATGCCAGCTCTAATGTCCCACAGTGCACAGAGCAGCAAGACAAAACAGTTGAGGGATGTATGAGAGGAGTGTGAGTATGTGTGTGTGTTTCTCGGAGGTGTACTGTGCAACTTTAGAATATAACCAAGCAAAACAACATGGCAACAAAGTGAAACACTGGTTAATGTTAGATCTTAAGATTCAAGTAAATTCTGGAAGAAGTGAAATCTGTTTCTGTGTAGATATGCATTTCCTTTGACCATTGTCTGAACCTAACCTTCACCCTAACACCTAACCTGTCACCTCTGCCTGCACCCAAGCCTTGGGTTGTTTAATGTTTACAGTAAGATGCCCTATGGTTCAAAATTTCTCCAACATTCCTGTACCCATGATGGCTCCCTTCTGCCACACAGTGTACAGTCTGAGGTAGTGTCCCTCTGTAGTGCCCCTGACTATTTAGACATGACCGCAGTGGAGTGGACCAAGAAATCAGTTAATGCATTAATCATCTTACCAGTCTATGTCATCATGCACCGTGTGTGACATTCACTCACTGAGCATCAGTAAATTTCTCCATCCTCAGCTCCGCCACTGAACGTCACACAGCCAAACCAACCAACATGACCCTCAGTAGGTTATGCTAAGCAACTATACGTCTTAACCTGCATTTTACTGCACGTGTGCTCAGTACCTAGTGCTAACACTTACACCATGCATAGTTACCACTTTATAATGTACACCTACAAAATCCAGTCCAACCTAGACCATTCCGAGTAAAAGTTTAGATTTAAGCATGTTAAATACGATCAATGATAGTTTGACTATTGTATCTAGAAAAAATACAATGCATAAATATTTCTAGGTGACTTATGGTTTCCTCTGAAACTATTCAAGAGAGCTGTGGAGGTTTTCTAGGTCAGTCAGAGGTCAGTTCTCTAGAAAAATAAGACAGTTGTACAAAATAGAAATCTGTATTGAATTCATATATATTGTTTTGTGTAGGTATTTAATTCAGGTAGGGGGTGTTCAGGTGTCATTAGTTGTGCTTAATAACTATTTTTTGCATGCATGAAGAGAAAATGGTGTGACTATGTTTTGCAGTGAACCAAAAGGAGATACGGTATACTGTATAACTGAACCGCATTCCATTTCGTGTTAAGATGCAATATTACAGAGTCCAGTACAACACAACTAACAACAGCCTCAAGAGTGAGCAAACATATAAAGAGAGAGGTGGTTTTTGTCTGAGGTAAGATATTAAATCACATGAACTTTTGCAGGTGTATCTAACAAATTCTCAACTATTCCCCATCTCACTGATCAGATAACCCACATATTTTCAGTTCCTTCTGCCCTGGAGAAAACATTATGCTGCCAAAGCATAATACTGTATATCACAGCAATCAATGCACTTGTAGTGAACCAAATAGTTTTATTAACAATTCCGACTGATGTCTCTTTGCAGAATCCAGATTTGGTGAATGTACTGGTATACATAACTGACAATGTATAGGACAACTCAAAAACAAAAGGAATGAATGACTACAGTGTGTAAGCAAAGCAAAAGGATTATTTCCAGTGTTACAGCATACTCCTGTGTTGGATCGATCTCCATTTCCTGTAATCAATAAATAACATTCATGGCCATCATAATTTAACAGATGTTAAATAAATCATGTACTGTATGTGCATCTAATTTAGCAGTGTTATCTAAACAGTGGTGCAGCACCAATGTTCTAATCATATTGTAACTGTGTCACAGTTCAAATCACAGTTAAACCCGGACAGGGATGTTTTCAATGTAAAATCCATACTTGGATGATCAGTGTGTGGTGAACACACACAGGATTATATTTTAAAATGAAGACCTGTATAATCTATTTGCTGACCCTCCTTTCCTTCATCTACTGTCATCAGATAATGTATCAGTGCCACAAACTGCTTCATCTAAATGTGTGCACATGGAGAGAATGGCAGGAAGAACATAAATGACACATTTTTCCAGCCCAATAAAAGTGAGAGTTTATATTTTGATGATGCAAATAAATGCATCCTGATGTTCTGGGGATACTGTCCATGGAAAAATATATCCTTCTATCATGTATGTCTTTGGGTGTGATTGCTATTTATGTTAAACAGCACTTCAAGAGTGAAGCTGTTGCAGTTATCTACCTATATGTTGCAAATATCTGTGTTTTAATAAATGGCTAAAGGAACGATTTGAAAGTTTGGTAAACATGCTTATTTGTTCTCTTGCCAACAGTTAGATTATAGTTAAAAAACTGATATCACTCTAATACCTGTCTGTTAAATATAAGGCTACAGACAGCATACAGTTAGCTTTAGCCTAAAGACAGCAAGCAAGGGGAAGCAGCTGGTCTGACTTAGTCAAAAAGTAACAACATTTATCTACCTCTACGCTCATTAATTAAAATGTTATAACTTGTTTAATCCTAATATAAAACTGATATGAAACTACAAGTTGTGGTTTTAAGGGGGTTACATGCTGAACTATGTCTTGACTGGTAGTAAAACATGAATGTCACACTATACATACATGCCCATGCATGTGCACCCTTGTGTGCGTGCACACGAACCAAACAAGGACTCAAATGTACAATATTGCCTCATAATGCTACAAGTGGTCAAAAACCCCACGGGGTACCTTTAAGGCACAGCGGCAGGAGCATGAATGTCACACTATACATACATGCCCATGCATGTGCACCCTTGTGTGCGTGCACACGAACCAAACAAGGACTCAAATGTACAATATTGCCTCATAATGCTACAAGTGGTCAAAAACCCCACGGGGTACCTTTAAGGCACAGCGACAGGAGCAGTATCAATCTTTTCATCTAACTCTTGGTAAGGAGGTATTTAAGCACATTTCCCATAATGTCAGAGTATTCCCTTAAAAGCTTTACAGTAGTTTTTTTTTCACGTTTGCCTTGTATGCTTTTATGTCATTATAGTGTTTATGTGTGCGTGTGTGTATGTTGGTTGGGAGCTGTCAGAGGGTCTGGTTTTGGCCATGAGTGTGGTGGAAGTGGTGCTGCTGGGGATGGTGCGGGTGGTTAAAGTGGTAGGGCTCATGGCGGTAGTGGCTGTGGGCGATAACCGGATGCTCGATGCCTTCGCTCTGCAGCTCGTCCTGCTTGTGAACTCCCTCAAGCTTTCCCACCAGCTCTCTGATGAAGGTCTGATGAAGAGCACAGCACCCAGAGTGGACGTCACATGGACCAGAAAGGAAATAGAAACTTACAAGGTAAATATGTTCCAATAAGCCTTTCACATTTGTCAGACAACTCTGTTATTTGACAAAGTATTTTCACCCAGGTATATTTTCAGTGCAGGTCATGATTTCCAATAGCTTATCAAATCTTCACGTTGAGCCTGACATTTAGTCGATACAATGTGTGGACACTAGTAGAGAAGTCGGGTGACATTCTTTATTTTTCTTACTGTCAACAAATTGTCATGAAACCCAAATGAATGTACAATGTGGACTGATCCACTTCTGAAAACAGTCCCTACAAAACCCATTATTTGCTCCTAATTTGCTTTCTGGCCCACTTTAAGAAACTGTGTAGTATTTTAAAAGCTATATTCCACTAAAACCATAAGTAAGAGTTGTACATTTTCTTCTTCAGATTCACATATTATAAGGAATACATGAATTGCATTTACATGATTAAGCAAAAGTAGGTTATTTTCTCAAGAAATGACTCACTTTGGTAAAAAGCTACGGCTGCTACAGAGCTGCCACATGGACATTTTAGGAGAAGTATCTCAGTTTTGTAGTAACAGAAAGATACTTTATAAGGAAACATCTGGAAGCATTTAACACTCTAGACTTTAACAACAAACCTTTGACAGTCTTGTCTGTTTGTACTATTAGTAGGATATTTACTACCATGCATTAGATGATTAGCCAAATACTTTTAGAACATTAAAAGACAAACATCAATTACAAGTTACATAGCAGAAATATCAACAAATAAATTTAGTGTTTATTCTGTCCATTCTTGTCTGAGTATTTTGAGTGTCCGTATTTCCATAAATAGCTAAAGGCTCTGTAGAGCAAAAGGTCTCAGGAGAATGACCTCAAAGCTACAATGGTGGAAGCTTCCTCTCTCCACTGTTTTGTGAAGTAAATGTGTTGCTCCTGATTACTGATAACCCTTGTCAAAATAAGTCACTACAAATGCTAAAAATAAGCTATCAGAATGTGATGTGAATGCAGATACCAGACAAGACTTTTCCATCATATTCTGTTCACCTGCTTTTGTTTTTAGGTACAAACCGGGGTAGCATGATATGGAGACCTATTTATTTGCAGGCAGGCTAAAAGATTAGCTCAGAATTTATCAAGTTTTAAAACAATCACATGTCCATATGAACACATTATTCTTACTGTAATCATTTGCCCACTTCAGAAGTTATCACCCCATTAAAGGGCCATTGTCAGCTGGTCATCTAGACCACAGATGTGGGATAGTAGGGCAATGCCCCACCTCATACTTGGCTCAGTAGGCGGTCATCATGTGCCAGACCTTTGTTTTCATGGTTATAGTAACAGACGTGGAGACTACCGGGTATAGGCACAACTTTTAAAATAAAAGTGCGCAGCACACTACTTTTGAATTCATTATTGAATGCAGCTCATATCGATGCAGATAATCGTGATTAATCACAGCAAATCACGCAGTTAATGCGATTAGGGATTTTAATTGTTGCCCAGCAGTAATAACATATATAGACGATGTGCACCTTCTGGCCTCTTCACAAGTGCAGTATGCACTTACTTAAAGAATAGTGGATGTCATAACAGCTGATAACAGCCATTTAATAGGGTGATATTGTTCTTCCTTTTCATAGTGGCCATTTAGAGATCCCTTTGCTTTCAGTGTACCTGTTTGGGAACAAAATCTAAAGTCCTCATTCTGTCCAGGTTTGTGGCCGAGATTGCCCCCTCTCAGCAATAAGACAAAGCCAGTGTGAGGGGTGGAAGCTCACAATCAGTATGTGAACATGGTTCAGCTCTATTGATATTGTTATGGCTGAATGTCAGGCTAGCAAACTGCTGCTTCCAGTGTTAGCTGAGACAGCTACATGACAAATCTAATTCATTGGAATGGGATTCACAAGAAAGGGACAGAGGGACAATCTGAAAACACAATGCCTCCAGCCACAGCTACTGCCGGTGTGGAGGCATATAAATGGGGGATGCAAATCTCGACAGCTCCAAGCTCAGCAAAATAATGCACCCCATCTTAAGTTTCTTTTCAAACACCTTTGTACCAAGTGATGTTACTAGCACATATGAGTTATTTTACTTTGACAGTGCAATACTCAACTTGTAATAGTCTTTACAGTTTAACTAGAATTACTGCTTCGTGGTTGTATACCCCCATCAACTAGGCCAATACACAGGAATGTGACAGATGTGTGGTCATTGTGACCACACACCTGTCACACTGTGTGGGCATTTTAGCCAAAATTTGAAGAAATTCAAGGCTTTGCTGAGATAACGCATTAATGAGAATGCACTGAACAGCTGGATGGATGGACAGACAACCTGAAAACATATGCCTCTAGCCACGGCTGAACCCAGTGCAGAGGCATGAGAATGTTCCACATCAAAGTCTAACAAAGTAAGTCTGAGCAAGAGAAGCAACAGTCACTGACCATCCCTGCTCTTTAGCCTGAGTTTGCATCTCTGACCAGGCCACAGTGAGGCCAACATTTTAGTTCAGAAAGACTCATTGTTTGAGAATTAAAGCGGACGAGAAAAAACAAGAGTGAACAAATTGCCATTGTTGAGGCATCTGGAAAGACTGTGGGATGAGATATCAGAGACTGCAGCTTCAGCTCTGTGTGTGCATGCATGCAGGAGCCATTTGCATATGTAATGTCTGCGTGTGCTAGCATTACCAATCTGGGTTGGAAATGTATTTTCCAAGTTAAGACATACCTCTGTGTTTGTACGACACTTTCGAAGAAGCTCCTGTTTGAAAAAGAGAATAATGTTATAACAAACCAGCCACACATTTATAGATCTTATAACATTTTATTCCAAACACTTTGACATGTCACCTAGAAATCACCGCTTACTAGCACCGCCCAGTATTAGTACTGTATAATAAGATGACCTCTTCAAACATGTTTGTTTGACTGACTTCCTGAACAAAATCTGTCCTTCTGGCTGCAGAATCATGCATGATGTGAAAGAGCTATGACTGATGACATAATCTGAAAATCTTCTCTGTTGGAATCCTCTTCCTATTTCATAATCAGCACCGTCTAATACAGCTCGAATGAAGTAACGGTGCAGGTCATGTGTACCTGTAACTTTCGGACTCTCTCTTCATCATTAGGCAGGTCAATCAATTCATCAATGTTCACCTCTTCTGGCATGTCAACCTCCTGAGATAAACACACACAAGCTCACTGAGTTACCATACAAGACAGATACACTTTCAACACACATTTGTCACATTGGTTCACGCTTTTTAACCCAATAAATTCCCCCTGAAGTTTTTAAAGACTTCCATTACAGTTTTCCTTTATTTCTTCCAAAGATTCACTTTGGAAGTATTACAGCATATTATACTTACATTTTTATTATATTACAGTACACAGTACACATCGCAATCTATTTCCAGCTGTTGGGGAGTATTACTGCATATGTGACAGAAGTTGCAGTACAGTTTCTATTCGTAAAATTAAAAACAGTACACAGGCTGGTCATGTTACAATGAAGTAAAGTACTTCACACATTTACCAGTGCAGTATCTCCTAAATAACAGCTTCAGCTTAAAGAGCAACTGAAGATTTGGGGTTCAGTGCACAAACACACATGTAAATCATTTGTTGCTTATGTTTGGGCTCTGGGGGCTGAATAATAACAATGTTCACGTCATACTGTAACAGTAGCCTGCACTGTTTGAACAAACAGTCATTGTACCAGCTGATTAAAAGGACAGCCCCACCCGCCCATCCACACCACTGCCCTGCCTGTGTCATTAGGCAGGGCCCTTGGCACATATGGGACTGCAGCTCAACAGGCCACCAGCTTCATCCCACTGCAATACTCAGTATGGGGGGGTGATGTCACATCACTGTGATTACCTCCTCCAGGGACAGACAATAATGCTTTCCCTCCACTAGCATAATCTTCTCCTCTTCCTTTTTCTCATCCATCCTTCTCTCAGTTCCACACTGCCCATGTAAGGCAGAAACCCCCAAGACAGATAGAGCTCTCTGAGAACGGACACAGTGGACCTCACAGCTGCAGGAGGCTTGGCCTTGTAAGGAGAACCTGGCCACCCCACCTCTCCTCTCTACTAAACACTTCACAGATCAGAGGACGTATGGATCTGTGCCTTGATATCGCTTTTTGATAAAATACAACGTTCATTTCATGTTTACAACTCTGCCTGTCCCCCATATTACAGTTTGTTAATGTTTAAAAAAATGTATATGCATTTTTGAAACTCCTTTAAAAGGCTTGTTTTCCGACTATATTAAAGCAGATATTAAAATGCTGTCAAAGCAGTGATTTGACTCTTGCTCTGAGACACCCACCTGGCCTGAGTACAGGCGGTCCAGGCTCTCGTCGATCCACTTCTCCACATCCAGCCGCTTCTGCAGCTCCTTCCTGTTGTACTTCACGGTAACCCGGGCATGTCTCTTCAGCATATTACCTCCCTGATCCTGCAACTCTGGACGGGTTAGACTGGTTTGTCGTCTATCAATCACAGGAGGAGAGAGCAGCGGTAGGAGGGGACGGCAGCACAAACAGCTGGGCAGTGTTTGTCTCTCCTGATGTTTATTTACAGGGCATATACACAAGTACTGGTAAACTATTCTCCTGTTAAAAAAAAAAAGATTATGTAAGTCATGTAAATTGAACGCCTTGCCAAGGCATCAACATTTGTTTTTTTTTTTCGCGTAGCCTAGTTTATATTACCCAATTTTTCCCACCTGATGTCACGACAGGCTACAAACATCTGGGTTATATCCACTGCCGTTCTTATTTTTCCTAATTTGTCAGTCACCCTGGAGAATAGTCAAGAAATCTGTTGCATGGGCCGCATTTTGTTTAGAACTTAATCAAAGAATATATACTTCTCAAAAAAATAAAGGGAACACAACATAGTTGAATGTCTTATTTTTGTGTTCCGTTTATTTTTTGAGCAGTGTAGTTTCTCCATGAGAGACTGCAGGGGCACATTTTGCAATTTCTAGATGGCACAAGAGGAAATGAACTAATTAAATGGGTGTGATTGCGCCGATTGCATCAATTCCACTGATAACGTGTTTGTTAGAACATCAAGACATGCTAGAAATACTTTAATCAGTTGTTTGTGCTCTTGTGTTCTGTCCGTGGATGAATATCTTTGCTCCATATGTTAAAGGCAGTTCACTGGGATATCGTTTAACTCCGCATCTCATCCAGCTCTGTATTGCCACAGTGACAGGGATCACAGAGAACATGCTAGGCAAGCAGACCTTGAAGATGACGATGGCTAGTCAGACAGTGCATCACCCCTTCTGGCTAGTACGTATCCAGGATGACTACACCATTGGTATTGGCCTGTTATGTTTCTGGTTTGCAGGTTATTTTTTGGGGGAAACTGTGAATATAATTTCATGTGTTCTGTGATGTGTGCTGGTAATAAAAGCAGTAGCTATCTGGGGTCATGCAGTGTATGGGGCGGGAACAGCCAGTGGATCTGCAACACCAGCTGAGTACCAGCAGAGGGGCCACCATTTCCAGCCCAGAACCATACAAGGGGTCGTCACTGCCAGCTCCATTGAAGGAGTGTCCCGGTCTAGAGGCTGAACAGGAGCGACAGATCAGGGAGCTGCTGGAGGCATTCATAGACATTTTTGCAGCCAGGGACAAGGACTGTACTTGGACCAGCACAAGACTGACAGATGTTCACACTGTCTGACTCTGGCCGCTTGCCTGCCCCTCACCAGCAGACACTCCCAGTCCCACAGGGCAGCCCCAACATGAGTGCAGGCTACCCCAGCACCTACAGGACTTTGAGTTGGGTTAGGTTCTGAGGACCGTGAATCTGCCTGGTGGGGGCTATGTGGCATGCTGGAGGAGCCAGTGGGAGTACAATAGACTGTGTACACACACACACACACACACGGACAGTGATACGGACCAGAAGGTGAGGACTGGTCCTATTGCCCACAGTCAGCAGGTGTTCTGCGGAGAGGAAACCTTGGGTTGGCCTGTTATGTTTCTGGTTTGCAGGTTATTTTTTGGGGGAAACTGTGAATATAATTTCATGTGTTCTGTGATGTGTGCTGGTAATAAAAGCAGTAGCTATCTGGGGTCATGCAGTGTATGGGGCACGGAAGCCTGCAAAAAAAAAAAAAAAAAAAAAAAGACTGATTCCAGTGTCATTCCTTGGCAGAATCTCTTGAATCCACTAGCTTGCACAATACTATATTTGTGCATTACACCTATAGTTTTAGGGTTACTAATAAAACATCTACCCACTACCTATCTAATATTGTAGTGTTGGAGCAGGAGGTACACTTGGTTGGTTCCCCCAGAACACCCTATGGGGTGGGATGTACTGTAAAGTTCAGGGTTTTGGCAGGGCTCAGTGTGAGTGTACCCAGTGTGTCTTTGCTGCTATGTATGCAATAAAACAGCAGTTCACAAGAGTGCAGAAAAAGGCCAACTGTTCTCCAGTTCCTTCTTCAACCAAGCCAATGGCACATTGGTGTCAGAAGTAGGATCTCCAGAGACAATGACATCAGGAGACCAACAAGCTTATCATCCAGCGGAAAGAAGTGATGCTACAACCCACAATGGATGCCCCGACAGCCTCTTTGAGCTTTCCAACTACTCTGCTTGCACTGAGACCCCACTAAAATGAGGCTGCTGATGGAGATGTGGGTGAACACTTGGTTGTTCAATGAGAATACAGACTGGGTTGTTTTTGTCCTGGGGAGTGAGGCTCTGGAGATCCTCAACAACCTGCCAAACCAGGAACAACAGAACTGGCCAACTATGGAGAGGGTGCTGTAGCGCAGATTTGGTAGACACGCCTACTCCGATGAGGCCCAGGCTGATCTTTCCAACTGATTGTGTGGGAAAGGAGAGAGCCTAGGTGCCTATGCTGCTAACTGACCACTGCTCCCAACATGGATATCCAGCTGGTGACAGCTTGACCTTGGAAAAGTTCGCTCTCCATGCCTTTGTCTGGGGACTCCAGCCAGAGTGACTCTGAGATCATCACTCACCCTAAAGGTGGCTCTGGCTGTAGCAGAGTGGGTCAAGCATGTGCTGTGCTTTCCTGTCCCAAGACACCAAGTGTGGTAGGTGGACTTCAAGGGGATGAGAGAAGAGAAGGTGGCAGCCTGCCAGATTGCTGCTACAGCACCACCATGGCAAGGAAGAAGAAGGGCAGCCAAGCAATGCCAAGAGGAGTGCTACTACTGCCGGGAGCTGGGACACATCGCACACCATTACCCAGGACTTGCACCCTGATGGACAGCACCCTTGGACAACTCATCTACCCTCAACCTGTCACAGCTGTGTGTTGGCCATCTGGACCAGACACACGGCTTATACTGGGACTGTTAGCTGCAATGTTGTAGTACTTGAGTTCAAGACTCAGACTCGAGTCCAACTTCAGTCCAGATTTTCAGGACTCATGACCTGACTCAAACTTGAGCATTGATGGCTCAGTCCTGGACTTGAAAAATCCAAATTAAATTGGGGGTAATAATAAATAACTACGGAAAGTCTAGGACATGTCCAAAATGACAGGCAATGAGAAAGTGTAGCATACCATACCATAGCTTGATCTCTGCAATGTACTGCTAGAAAGTTTTGAAAATAAAATGACGAGAGCTGTGTCAATTGTGCTTAATGTAGACTTGACTTTGACTCTGGTAATGGGGACGCAACTCAGATTATTCTTTGGTGACTCATACTCGGACACTGGGGGCTAGAGACTCGATTCGGACTCGAACACTGGGGACTCAGCTACAGCACTGGTGAATGCCGTACCTTCGTGAGAGTGTGAAGATGTGGGGAGAGAGGACGCTGAGCTCTGGTTCAGGCTGGCCAGCATCCAAGATCCATGCATTATCAGCCTTGACCTGCTAGCAGAGTTGGGGGGAGTGGTGGATGTGCCTGGGGCTACTCTCTGCCTGGGTGCAGCTGCTGTGGTCATCTACAGTGCCAGTAGGAGAGGGCTGTGCCCAACCACCAGAGGTTCATCCACACCTACACCACTTTCCTGGGCAATGTGCACAGAGACCAGGTGAGCCGACAAGGACTCATATGAGAAGAGCTACAGAATGAAGAAGTGCCGGTGAGGTCGGTGCACTAAGGACCAGGACACTGCCATACAACAAGCAGCAGCCCCGCAGGTTGTTTCCCCTGCCAGCAGAGGTGGGTGCCCCTGTGCAGCTCGGATGGGGTTGACCCAGCACTCACATACTGCCTGACAGCAGGACCAGGTGGGTGCACCAACCAATGCTGGGCCTTGCCAGACACATCATTGCAGTCCGTGAGAGAACTATGTCATTCTGTGGTTCTGAAATGTGCCAGTTTGTTTCTCTTCTTTGTTTTGTTATTCTAAATTCATTAATATCTTTGGTTTTTAAAGGTGTTGACTAAACAAACAAGTAACTTGGATATATTTTTTTACTGTTTTGACATTGAGACTAATTGATTTGAAAAAAATCAATAATTCTTAATTGTTAAATCAATACTAAATAAATTATTGTCGGTTCATCATTAGTTGTCAGTTTGATGTCAGAACTACACACCATTAATAGACATGAGCCCAATTAAATGGCCAGTATCACAGGTTGTAAGTAAGAGTCTTAATTGACAATAACGACAAGCTGGAGAGGGATGGGTGCTGGTGATGTAGAGCTGACAAAGCATGGTGACAGTAGACAAAGTCACTGAGGAAACAAAACATGTCTTCCTCCACAGGCAGGAATCCTGGCTTAGTAGCATAGTGAATACAGCAATCCAGAGAGGCAGATACTGAAACTCGGTGTATTACAAGGGTAAGGCAGCAGAGTAGTCAAGAGTCCAATCCAAAAGTTTCATATTACTCATGGTCTTTCAGAGACAGGGCAGGGGCGTAGTCAAGATACCAATCCAGAGGTCTGGTGGAGAGGGATCTTCCGTGAACCACTGCCTCGAGGCTTGTATCGTTGCCGAAAAGATACGTGACTGATGACGTCCAACACAGAAACGGATGGCCTGAGTGACTCCAGTGACTGGTTCAAACTGTTGATACAATGTCATGACACGAGATCTCGCTGCACGCGTCAGCAGGTGCGTAGGGGTACTATAAAGCCACCCAAGATGATGCACAACATGTGGGTTTGTTGACGTAGTAGGTGTGTGCGTAGTTGCTGTCGGTATGATCATTGCTGCTGGTATGTGATCACTATGGAGCCAGCTAGGAGTAAAAATGATTGATTCTCCATTGTATTTATTCACACCCTGTCCTAGTTACATACACACCTATTACCATCCTAGCACATCCTCTGTTTCCCCAAGCATGGCTTCTCCCACCTACTAGACTACATACGTTCATAGACTTGACCGACTGACCAATCAGTCTTTACAAACGTTTTCACATCATTCACACAAAGCCTAGTTACACCCATCACATAATTCAGACATTTGTTCTGCTGCATACTACTTCGCCACCAGATGGCACCAAACCGAACCTTTGAATGAATGAACCAATACTCGATACAAATGATGAAGTGGTTTGATACAGGTGTCATGGTGTCAATTGGACATCACTAGATGAAGCTGCTTATAAGAGGGTATGCACAGGTGTTTTCAATCGGCACAGGTGAGGATAGGGTGGAACAGGAAGTGTCAAGTAAAAATAAGAGCCGGTTACTGGAAGTGGAGCTGGAGTTCATGACATTAGCTACATAACACAATAAGCTGGAAACAAATAACATGTTCAACCTGACACTTTTCTAATTATCTTCATTTCCTTAATTTCTCTCTATGAATAAAGACAAGTTTCAATGTGAAACCGAGACTTGAATTCAGAATCGCTTCAAAGCAAATCTTTTATTCCACATCACAACCACAGCATGATGAAATTAAATAATATGAATGGGAACATAACAGAACACAAACTTTGGTATGAAATCAAAATGGCACATGAAAGAGCAATGTGATCAACATTTATAAATGACAGTAATGGCTGGCTCTGTGTGATAAAGCAAATGCTCTTTATAGCTCTGCTCTAAATATCTTTGGGATACTTCACACCAGCCTGCACAGCCCAAAAAGCACCCAGGTATAGCATCAAACATCACTCTTCATTCAGCATCATATAAATATATCTCAACATCTGTGACAATAAAAATGAAGCTATAAACATGAGTCTTCAAATAAATAAATAATAGAAAGAATAAAAATGATGGTACGCACAATAAGGAAATAATGGCCAAAGGAAGATTGAAAAGCAAACAAATATTCTGTTTTAAAATGATGAATAATTAAACAAAGTGAACATATTAAAGAAGATAACCCAATAAAACCTATGTTGGGCAGGTTTCCCAAAGCTGGTCAGGGCATGATGACTTCCTGTATTTGGTTTGTGTTATAGGTCCTATCCTAAAAGTGGATCATTTTACTTGTCTCTTTGGGGCTTAAACATGAAAGAACTTTGCCCCATACTGTTTTCAGTAATCTTCATCAGAGTAGTTCATTTGTCACTATTTTTATGTTTCTTATCTGTACATTTTTAACAGTGTTTTATCTTCAGCATGAGCAGAGTGGTTTCCAGCTCATGACTTTGCTCCTCTCCTCACTATCCATGAAGGGAGATGAGCAACAAGTGCTAATATGCTTCTTTCCCTGTTTGTACATCCGTGTTTTCTTTACATTTCATCTCAGTCCTGCTCCAGAGCCCAGACCAGCCTCATCCCTCCACTTAAAGTCCTGACGCTCACCTCTTGCCAGGCTGCTCTCCACAGGATTGTGCCTGTACCCAGATCTGCCATCTGGACAGAGGGAGAGACTGAGGCGAGCTGTGCTGTTGCTGATCTTGAACAAGCCGCTAGGACCAAGGAAGGCATCTCTCTCACTGCCTCCCAGGTTGTTGACAGTCTCCAAGTCATTATAAACTGCTATGTCACTCAGCTGCTTCCTCCCTTGAAGTCTCCTCCTCCTCCTCAAAAAGATAATGCCAGCGACCAGAACCAGCACCAGGACAGAGAGAATACAGGAGATGGTGAGGGTAGAGGACGACGGCTGAGAGGCTTGGCGTAGAGCGGGCTTGAAACTGGGCTGAAGTGTGAACTCACAACTAGGACCCATGAAGCCCTTAGGGCACTGGCATATTGGGCCAGTGAAGTGGGTGAAGCAAGTGCCACCGTTCTGGCATGGACGGACACCGCAGGCATCTGAGCGGACAGTGCAGTTCTTGCCTGTGTACCCAAGGGTACAGGAGCAGGTATAGTCATTTACACCATCTTGGCAGGTTCCTGCATTTTGGCAGGGGTTTGAGGCACAGTCATCGATGTTGATCTGGCAGTTGGCACCTGTGAAACCAGCCTGACAGCGGCACAAGATGCTCTGACCGAGGTCCAGGCACTCACCTCCTGCAGAAGGGAGATAAGCTCTGTTCAGCACACCAGAGAACTGAGACAACCATTTGAGTGAATGTAGTGTGTTAATGGGATTACATTGAACACTATAGTGTTGGTTGTTGGTAGTAATTACTAAAACAATTTCTTGTTCAGCCACAAGATGTTGCCCACTCACCATTCAAACAGGGCGTTTTGCTGCAGCGGTCCAGCTTCTTCTCACAGTTGGAGCCAGTGTAGCTCGGAGGGCAGCAGCAGGTGTAGCCTCCAGTCATGGTCTCCACACAGGTGCCGCCGTTGAAGCAGGGACCATCTGCGCATGTCATGGCAATGATCTCGCAGTTCTTACCATAGAATCCCTGTGGGCAGGTGCATGAATAGTCGTTTTCCAGATCCTGTGGAGGGTGGGAAAAAAGCTCTCTGTTAAAAAGGAACTATCTGGAAACACTCTGTGTCACATTCTGGGATGCCTGTGCAGTGAGTAGCAAGTGTTCTACTTGTTTTGATTTCAGTGTCCATTGTGCAAAATGAATGTAGACCAGCAGAGGCCGACAACAACCACTGGAGAGGAGATGACTCACAGTGCCAGCTGTAACCCTCTGCACTGCTGTTTGGACTGTAAGACACACACTCTGCTGCTATACATGCAAATAGCTGTGTGTAAAGCTGCTAACACTGCTATATACACACACAAGAGACTTAACCTATTTTCACTGCATTTTTAGTTTTTATTGGAACTCTTTTGCTTCCTCATTGTATTTGTCATTTTATTTTTGTCTCTGTATTGACAGTTACAAACTATGCTAAAGTATAAGGAATTGTCTTTTATTTATCTCTTCATTTGTATATAACAGTTGTCCATATGTTAACAGTATTCTAATTTACAAAATGTTTCTGTGTATCTGTTTTGTACTTCTGGTGGGATCGGTAAAGTTTAGCTATTTTGTCTTATCTTAACTGTCCTCTTTCTTTATAAAAACTTCTTTAGTATCACTGCACCACATCCCACCTTATACTCACATTGCAGCTGCCTCCATTCTTGCAGGGGTTGCTGTCACATTCATTGGTTTCAAGCTCACAGTTGGTGCCTCCAAAGCCAGGCCTGCAGGTGCAGGTGTAGCTGCCCTGGCCTGTGTTGGTGCAGGTTGCACCATTGGAGCAGGGCTTGTGGTTGGTGCAATAGTTGAGGTCCTGGTCACAGAAGAGGCCCCCCCAGCCCTCCTGACAGTTACACTGCCATGGCTGGCTGCATGTTCCATGGAGGCAGCCTGGGTAGCGGACACATTCATTGCAGGAGGGGCCCTGCCAGCCCATGCGACACGTACAGCCCCCCGGAGCCTCACAGTAGCCATGCCTTTCACTGCAGTCCGTTGAGCAGATGGCTGGAGAGGAGATGGAGGGAAGGGTATGGTGTGTGATTACAATGGGCACGCCTCCTCATATATCACGCACACACATATTCAGGGCCCCCGTCTGACCCCAGTCTGTTTCCAGACTTCACTGTTGGTTAAGTATTAAGCCAAGCAGCTGGTAGGCACGCTGCTGGAGGAAAATGCATTCTTTTATCTCCTCCTCTTTACACACACATGCAGTACACACACACAGATCACCTTGAAAAATAGGTGGTTGTGGGTTTGTGTGTGTGCGTGTGTGTGTGTGTGTGTGTGTAATAGGGCCACAGCTCTTTATCCCATTGTAACAGGAGGACAAAAGGCAGATGGAACACCACAACTGTCTTGCAAAAGAGCAAAACACAACGCATGGCACATCAGTCAGATGAGCAAAATGCTCCTGTTCACACTGTTTCACAGTGAGCATATAACAGATAACCAACCACAAACCCAGTAGTTACATAAAAAACTGTTTTAACCATGCCTCTGCAAAACTTGACAGAAATTGTTTCAGTAGATAGGAGGAAGTTTTGATTGTCTTATTGTGAATCTTGCTGTCTCTTAATTTTCCAGTTTTTTGAACAAATATCTTTAGTTGTCTAGACTAAATTCTCTCATTTTCTTTACTTAGTCTGATGTGTGTGTGTGTGTATATAGTCTGTCTGGTCAAATGTTTTGTAAATAGAAAATAGTCAGGGACTGGAAAATCAATTATGAGACCATCCTCTATCCTGAGTTCTCAGGAGGATTTTTTTTATTCCTATTTATGGAGTATTTTATTCTGATTTAAACTCATGGAAACTGCTTGTGACATTGTTTTGAAATGTGCTATAGCAATAAAGTTTATTTTCTTTGCCTAATATAATCAGATACAGTATATTACTAATTCACTATAGGCTATTTAATTTTTGTGACAACACAGAGGATTACAAATTAACATGAAGTCGCGTTAAATTCTATTGAAAATCTACTATTTCAAGTTTGAGTATGATATGTGGTTGAATTCAGTGTTATTCTGGGGATAATACATTGTCACGTGTCCCCTAAACAGGTCAGTCAGCAAAATGCACCCATGGAGTGAACCCATGGAACCCTGTGCCAACCTATTAGTACAGGGTCTCGGTGTCTTGTTTAAAGAGTAAATTTAACTCACGCTCAGAGCAGTAGTTTCCCTTCCAGCCCCCCAGGCAGATACGGTTGCCCTCCTCGTCGCAGGTGTAGTGGCCCAGTGTGTCATCCCTCGGCCTGCAGTAGTCAGCGCAGCCGTCTCCAAAGTAGTACTCGTCGCAGAAGACGTGGTAGGAGTAGCGCAACTCGCTCTGCTCGCCAAAGTGCACGTCCTGGGACCAGTCCTCACCGATTGCAAGTCTCCTCCTGGTCGCCAGACGGCTCACAAGGTTGTTTTGGTTGTCTGCAGAGGGAACGGACGTTTTTAAACAAATGCCCATACGCCAGATGGAAAGTGTATTTAACTGTGTCCAGTAAATTAATGAACGAAACGTTAGAAAAAAAATCTACCTGTGTATTCAGTTGGAGATTCAGCGTTCCAGGCCTCAATGATCAACGAAAATGTTCCCTACAATTTATAAAATTGACATGAGTACATTAATACTTTCTGTAACCTTTGAAATCGATTAGAGGGATTTCTGCAGTATTTTAATTACAAATTCGACCCTATCCTATAACACTCTAACAACTGTAATCGTTAGTGTTTCCATTTACCGGCCATTTGAAGTGGAAAGGCACCCTGATGGGAGCGCTGCTAGAGATCGAGGTGTGATCGGCCCTGATCACGTTAGTGTGTCCAGTGCCAAAGGTGCAAGGCGGCTCTGCGGAGATCACATCCTCTGGGTGTTTAAGGCAAATTCTGAAAAATATATGACAATCCCTGTGTCTTCTGCAGATGCGTTGCGCCGTATGGAATGAATGAATCTTCAGCTCAAACACACCAGAGGACAGTACCTGCGGTGACAGAAAATTTACATGAGACGTGCTCTAAGACAGGCTGAGACCGGCGTTACTCCAAAACAAAGAGAAGCCAACTTACTGTTTGCAATAGGGCCAAAGCCAAGAGGTATCTCATGTGTAGCTGTGCCATTTCCTTTCTGAGTTTGCCTTGCAGTTCTATGTGGATGTTCACATTCGACGTGTGCAATAATATGTCCAAAAGTTGTTGACCAAAATCTTGACTCCCCTAATGTATACACAGTGTTGAAGAAAACTCATAAAAATGTCATCACTCTGGACTATGTGATCCCTCTGAAGTCTCTGAAATCTTTCTTATCCTCCGTCCGGTTGTTCGCACCGCACTTGTTATGGTGCGTAAAGATGCAGAATGATTTTATACCTTCAGATGCTGCGCGTCACAGGGACAGAGGTGGTGCCGG